TAATGATGAATGAATATTGGACTGAATTCCGCTGAAGTTTCGCTATCTGTCCGAATATGTGGCAGAGGGATGTGCTGGCTCAGACCCTTCACTGGAAAGGTTGGATAGAGCAGCTTTTGCACAACAGTATAGGTGTTCTTGAGCAATACCTTACTAATTTTGGAGTATATCATATGTAAATTCTACAATCTTGTCTATACTAGCCTAGTCTTCTCAGTGGTCGATTAGCATCTACACAAATTCATGCTTATTAAGGATTAGGTTTGTGCATGTTCAACAAGACAAAATTGGCATTTTTTGCCTCTTTGTAACGAACAACGATGAACATTACGTGTGCACTAAACAATACATTTTCACGTTATTGCTAACAAAGCAAAGGTCAACGCTTCATAAAAAATATATATAAAACATTTTCGACGATTTTGCATAAAATGTTGTTGTAGCGTTGGATCTGCGAGCATGCGCCAATGTTTACCTTTGAAGCACGAACTTAATGATGATTCATATATATGGTGACCTTTTCCATAAGATTAGAATTAAACTTTGCTCTGCTCTTTTAATCTTGGTGGAAGAGCGTTTGTAAAGGGGGAACGAGAAAATTCTACCATTTCAACCTAGATCAGCTCGAAACAATTTTGTGTGAAAATGCATATTGTGCCTTTGTATATACGAAAATCGACTGCTACACCACAACACGCATTCTTTCCTTTGAAAATTTGTTGGTAAATGGCTCAAGTAAGTTTTCATTTGAAACTAGCACTAGTTTTCTTTTTTTAACTAAAGGGTTTTAAAAAGCCGAAATGAATAGCAATTGCTCTTTCAAGCGCTCTTGTATCCTTGTTCAAGGTTTGAAGCTTCCTGTTCAAACTGGAAAAGAGGGAGGAAGTTGTTAGGGATTAAGAAAATCTGATTTGTCTATTTGTTTGATTCTGCTCCTTAACTTTATTTTGGGATGGACTCCTATCATACCACTGCATGAATAGAGTTTGTTTGAAAATTGTTTTACCGAACCTATGTAAGGCATGACAAGCTTTTGTACCAATGACTGCCATGCTGATCGCAAAGTCACTGACAATTGTCATTTTATCAAATAATTTGACAAGTAAAATTCTGACCAAATCTATTGTCAATCAGGTGTCAAGTTATCGCAACTTTTATGCGTCTACACATTTGATATGATTGGGTTCAAAAAGATTGCAATGCTATGCTCTTTTTCATAAGATTAGAACTAAATGTGCTTTGCTCTTTTAATCTTCTTAAAATTTTAGGATAAATACGCAGCTGTTGGAACGGTTAACAAGAATACAGATGGATTCGTTGTGTTCACACAAACAGCAGGACAGAAGCTTGGAAGCAGCGATAATGCGCCTGTTGTAAATTGCACACCTAGTGAAAAACTTGAATCTGGTGGTGTGATAGGAAAAGTTTATGAAGACAAGCAGGGAAAAACAGTGGTGCTCAAAAAAGATGCCAAGCCTGCCCCGGATCAAAAACCAGTTGGAGCAATGCTTTTGGTTCGCGGATTTTTAAGCCTTATGTATTAAATGAAAACATGCGCTTCTTTTAGGGTGCCTATCGCCAACCAGTGTTTGTCAAAGATGTTAAGCAATGCGAATGTCAGGCATCTCAGAATATGCCGATTATCATTATGTAAGTCCCACTATAGCACTAGCTATCTAAATTCAAAAAAAAATGGTAATAGCCTGGTATTTTTTGAA